CTCTCCAGCTGTCCGCAGGTGTATCCTGTCCTGGGCTAGTCTCTCCAGCTGTCCCCAGGTGTATCCTGTCCTGGGCTAGTCTCTCCAGCTGTCCCCAGGTGTATCCTGTCCTGGGCTAGTCTCTCCAACTGTCCCCAGGTGTATCCTGTCCTAGGCTAGTCTCTCCAACTGTCCCCAGGTGTATCCTGTCCTAGGCTAGTCTCTCCAACTGTCCGCAGGTGTACCCAGTCTTCTTGGCGTCTTCTTCCAGGTCACGTCTCCAGGTCTTTCTTGGCCTGCCTCTTTTTGTTTACCCTCTTATTTAGACACATTTAGATTATAAAAAATGTACACGTTTTAGCAAGGTTAAAAATTGAATGTTTCAATCAGCAGAGCTATAAAAACACACCTCACCAACGATCTAAATGGGCAGAGGTTCGCCGAGCTATAAAAAAAACACACCTCACCAACGATCTAAATGGGCAGAGGTTCGCCAAGCTATAAAAAAAACACACCTCACCAACGATCAAAATGGGCAGAGGTTCGCCGAGCTATAAAAACACACCTCACCAACGATCATACCGGGCAGAGGTTCGCCACGTTACACCTGAAGTTTCTCACCTGAGGTGTGTCGCACCTCACCTGTTTCTGTCAATAACATCCCAGGTATGTTTTCACGGGGTCAGCCCCACCCATGGGCGTTACACGTACACGGGCGTCACAATGTTGGGCACCCTTGTGTACACAAATACGGTGTAGGGGTGGGGGAGTGTCCGTCCCAGGCATGTTTTACTAGATGGGTAGACCGTCAAGAAAATATTCCCCGGGGGTGGGGAAGACGATGAGACTGGATACAGTGGTAGTGTGAGGGTGGGGAGGGTGGGGAAGGTGTGTGAGGGTGGGGTAGGTGTGTGAGGGTGGGGAAGGTGTGTGAGGGTGGGGTAGGTGTGTGAGGGTGGGGAAGGTGTGTGAGGGTGTGTGAGGGTGTGTGAAAGTGAGTGCAGGTGTGTGCTGGTGTGAGCTGAAGCGTTCAGGTACAGCCTCCAGTAATTATTCAGTAACCCTTACAGTAACTTCTACAGTAACCTTTACATATCTTCCAGAACTGAAAACAACGTCCATCAGGTTTAAAATTGGCTAGTCACCAGTCCGGTCATATCCAACCTGTTTCCCAACTGTTGCTGGTACCGAATAGAGCTGAGCAGCTCAGAGAGTCGCCTTTAAAACCCACCAGCATGATCTATGAATGTCATGCCATAAACAAAACATAAACCTTACGATTGATTTCTAACAGAATACTACACACCGACTTACGATTGATTTCAACAGAATACTACACACCGTCTTACGAATGATTTCTAACAGTGTATTACACACCATTCCTGCAAATTAAAAACACATTTGCAGGTGAAAATTACCCAGTAACCGAATTTTTTTTATTAGCCATGACAAGTTAATTAGCCTAAGTCTGACAAATTTGATTAGGTTTATAACAACCTAAGCTTAACTTTTCCCACTTCCGGTTGAACTAAAAAAAAATCTTGAAGTCGCAGATTTCGCTAAAAATCTTTTTTTTCAACGAGTCGACTTCTCGACAAAGGTAAATTGAAAAAAAAATACCAATCACTGCATCTTCGAGTATTGTTGATTCAATTCGATTTTTAGCTGCAGAAGAACAAAATAATATCTTTCGTAATAATAAGTCCATAGACATTTAATCTTTGATTACGCGTAATTATTTTGTGCCACGTTTAAACAAAATTAATAAAGTCATATCTAACCTTAAAACTAAACAACCTGAAATAATAACACCAGTAATTAACAATTACCATTCTTCTCTGGATCTGGAAAACCTGAGCTGAAGAAAACGGTTCCGTGATATTTATTTTCTGACGGAGACTGCTGAATGCTGGGTATTTATTTCCCGAGGTTAAGTGTTGAAAATTGTGTTAGTGTGGGATCAAACGACGGCAGGTGCATACCTGGGGGCACCTCCAGCTGCTGGCAGACGTGTAAAGGTGAGGGTGATGGTGGGGGGTCGGTCAGCTGGCATCGCGAACAAAGGAATCGTTAGTCACGGGGGGGGGGGAGGGATGCAGGGACGCGTTCAGAAGTTGTGGTAGAATAATACATTGTTCAGAGGCGCGTTCCGAAGTTTGTATAATTCATTGTTTAGTGGCGAGTTCAGAAAAGTGTTCTTATAATTTCTCCTGACCTGCCAGAGTGTGCAGGTACCAGACCACACCACACCGCGCCAACGAATTTGAATATTAGACATTTTATTAACCTCTGCCATATCAATCGAAAGTGTTGGTTTAAAAAATAAAGTTTTTTTTGAGTGGTGTGACTGGACATTTTGATGAGGAAAACACATTTTAGCGGAACAAATTATTTTTAGCCTACCCAGACGAGTTTCCATTAGGTACAAAAAGTGTTTTGTAGCTGGCCATATGGATAGCTGCCTAACGATTATAAGATTATTACTTTTATTCTTAGATATTAACCTCGTATTTTTTTAAAATATTTGTTTTGATATTTTTAAGTTTTTTTTTTTTAAATCTGTAATTTGTAGCAGGTCTGTTATTTTGTTTTGGTTAATTTGCTATTGTTATGGAGCCTGTTATTTTGTCTATTCTGCTGTTTAGTTTTGCTTAATTTGCTATTGTTATGGAGCCTGTTATTTTGTCTATTCTGCTGTTCGTTTTGTCTATTTTGTTGTTTGTCTAACTTGTTATTTAGTCTACTCCTTTATTTTTTTTATGTCTTACCAGGGGCGGAACTACAGTGCCGCCAGACCCCGCAATGCGAGGGGGCCCGGGCCGTTTAGGGGTCCGCAGCCGACCATAATCAGTTATTTTTTACAGTTAAAAAAACTCTTGCATTTTTGACTTGATGGTTGTTTTGTAAAAAGAATACTGTAGCTATGGTTTCATTATCTTTATTCTATAGACACCATCCCGAGTCCTCTTTCTCCTACAATCAAACACACGTTGTTGTCGGTAAAATTCTTTTGAAAACAAATGAATCGCGTGAAAGATACGCAAACGTTCAAACCACTTACATGACTTATTTCCCTTTTTTTAATAGTCAAATGTGTGTGCTCTCAAGCACCTTTTAATGGATTTGCACTAAACAAATTAAAAAGCAATTACTTCTCTTAATTATTATTTAAAAAAAAAATACATAATAAAGAATGACAAGCATAAACAGGAAATGTATTTAAAACTAATAATATAAATACGAAAAAACATGAAAATAAACATAACGTGAGAAACCATTGTACATACAAAGCTTTTATGCTTCATATTCCTTTGACCGACTGACTTACAGGAAGCAGAGTTTCTTCCAGGCATCTCAAAAAAATTTTACCGCCCACCCCCCCCAACGAAATAAAATTTATATAATTTTTATAGAAAATATATACTTTTACCAGTGTCGTCCCCCCCCCCCCCGAAGAAAGTCTACCCCCCCACCGAAAATTTCAAGTGCCCCCCCCCCCCACCCCCGGAGAAAAAAGTCTGGAAGAAACATTGACAGGAAGCATAATAGCAAACATATAATTTTAAAAAATAGAGATTTTCAAAATAGACTAATAAGCACTCACAAAAATGACGCGTTGTTGTAACTTGTTTTAAATTTTTAAAAAAGTATTTTTAATTTTTTTAAAAAACTCGAACAAGCCCGAAATGAGTACTCTATATTGGCATTTTCGTTATATATATATATATATATATATATATATATATATATATATATATATATATATATATATATATATATGGGGCCCAAAAAATTATTTGCGGGGTGGCCCTTTTTTTCTAGTTCCGCCACTGTGTCTTACCTATGTAACCTGTAATTTGTATCACCTATGTATTACCTATGTAACCTGTAATTTCTATTACCTGTCTTACCTATGTAACCTGTAATTTGTATCACCTATGTCTTACCTATGTAACCTGTAATTTGTATCACCTGTCTTAACTATGTAACCTGTAATTTGTATCACCTATGTATTACCTGTGTAACCTGTAATTTCTTTTACCTGTCTTACCTATGTAACCTGTAATTTGTATCACCTGTCTTACCTATGTAACCTGTAATTTGTATCACCTGTCTTACCTATGTAACCTGTAATTTGTATCACCTATGTCTTACCTATGTAACCTGTAATTTGTATCACCTGTCTTACCTATGTAACCTGTAATTTCTATTACATGTCTTACCTATGTAACCTGTAATTTGTATCACCTATGTATTACCTATGTAACCTGTAATTTCTATTACATGTCTTACCTATGTAACCTGTAATTTCTATTACCTGTCTTACCTATGTAACCTGTAATTTGTATCACCTGTCTTACCTATGTAACCTGTAATTTGTATCACCTGTCTTACCTATGTAACCTGTAATTTGTATCACCTATGTCTTGCATATGTAACCTGTAATTTGTATCACCTGTCTTACCTATGTAACCTGTAATTTGTATCACCTGTCTTACCTATGTAACCTGTAATTTGTATCACCTGTCTTACCTATGTAACCTGTAATTTCTATTACCTGTCTTACCTATGTAACCTGTAATTTGTATCACCTATGTCTTACCTATGTAACCTGTAATTTGTATCACCTATGTCTTACCTATGTAACCTGTAATTTCTATTACATGTCTTACCTATGTAACCTGTAATTTGTATCACCTATGTGTTACCTATGTAACCTGTAATTTCTATTACCTGTCTTACCTATGTAACCTGTAATTTGTATCACCTATGTCTCACCTATGTAACCTGTAATTTGTATCATCTTTGTCTTACCTATGTAACCTGTAATTTGTATCACCTTTGTCTTACCTATGTAACCTGTAATTTGTATCACCTTTGTCTTACCTATGTAACCTGTAATTTGTATTAACTATGTCTTACCTATGTAACCTGTAATTTCTATTACATGTTTTATCTATGTAACCTGTAATTTGTATCACCTATGTCTTACCTATGTAACCTGTAATTTGTATCGCCAGCGTGAGTGCATCTCTATCCACGTGGGTCAGGCCGGCGTGCAGATCGGCAATGCATGCTGGGAGCTGTACTGCCTGGAGCACGGCATCCAACCCAACGGCCACATGGAGGACCTCAAGTACGCCACCAACAACGGTGACGAGAGCTACAACACCTTCTTCAGCGAGACCTCCATGGGCAAGCACGTGCCGCGTGCCATTTACGTCGACCTCGAGCCCAGCGTCGTAGGTGAGTACTCGTCAGGTCACGTGGGTGTGGCTGGTGGTGTGGCTGGTGGTGTGGCTGGTGGTGTGGCTGGGTTGTGTGGCTGGGTGGTGTGTGGATGTTGGTGGTGTGTGGATGTTGGTGGTATTTGGATGTGGGTGGTGTGTGGATGTTGGTGGTGTGTAGATGTTGGTGGTGTGTGGATGTTGGTGGTGTGTGGATGTTGGTGGTGTGTGGATGTTGGTGGTGTGTGGATGATGGTGGTGTGTGGATGTTGGTGGTGTGTGGATGTTGGTGGTGTGTGGATGTTGGTGGTGTGTGGATGTTGGTGGTGTGTGGATGTTGGTGGTATGTGGATGTTGGTGGTGTGTGGATGTTGGTGGTGTGTGGATGTTGGTGGTGTGTGGATGTTGGTGGTGTGTGGATGTTGGTGGTGTGTGGATGCTGGTGGTGTGTAGATGTTGGTGGTGTGTGGATGTTGGTGGTGTGTGGATGTTGGTGGTGTGTGGATGTTGGTGGTGTCTGGATGTTGGTGGTGTGTGGATGTTGGTGGTGTGTGGATGCTGGTGGTGTGTGGATGTTGGTGGTGTGTGGATGTTGGTGGTGTGTGGATGTTGGTGGTGTGTGGATGTTGGTGGTGTCTGGATGTTGGTGGTGTGTGGATGTTGGTGGTGTGTGGATGTTAGTGGTGTGTGGATGTTGGTGGTGTGTGGATGTTGGTGGTGTGTGGATGCTGGTGGTGTGTGGATGTTGGTGGTGTATGTATGTTGGTGGTGTGTGGATGCTGGTGGTGTGTGGATGTTGGTGGTGTGTGGATGTTGGTGGTGTGTGGATGTTGGTGGTGTGTGGATGCTGGTGGTGTGTGGATGTTGGTGGTGTGTGGATGTTGGTGGTGTGTGGATGCTGGTGGTGTGTGGATGTTGGTGGTGTGTGGATGTTGGTGGTGTGTGGATGTTGGTGGTGTATGTATGTTGGTGGTGTGTGGATGTTGGTGGTGTATGTATGTTGGTGGTGTGTGGATGTTGGTGTTGTGTGGATGTTGGTGGTGTATGTATGTTGGTGGTGTGTGGATGTTGGTGGTGTATGTATGTTGGTGGTGTGTGGATGTTGGTGGTGTGTGGATGCTGGTGGTGTGTGGATGCTGGTGGTGTGTGGATGTTAGTGGTGTATGTATGTTGGTGTTGTGTGGATGTTGGTGGTGTATGTATGTTGGTGGTGTGTGGATGTTGGTGGTGTGTGGATGTTGGTGGTGTGTGGATGCGGCTGGTGTGTGGATGTTGGTGGTGTGTGGATGTTGGTGGTGTGTGGATGTTGGTGGTGTGTGGATGTTGGTGGTGTGTGGATGATGGTGGTGTGTGGATGTTGGTGGTGTGTGGATGTTAGTGGTGTGTGGATGTTGGTGGTGTGTGGATGTTGGTGGTGTATGTATGTTGGTGGTGTATGTATGTTGGTGGTGTGTGGATGTTGGTGGTGTGTGGATGCTGGTGGTGTGTGGATGCTGGTGGTGTGTGGATGTTAGTGGTGTATGTATGTTGGTGTTGTGTGGATGTTGGTGGTGTATGTATGTTGGTGGTGTGTGGATGTTGGTGGTGTATGTATGTTGGTGGTGTGTGGATGTTAGTGGTGTATGTATGTTGGTGTTGTGTGGATGTTGGTGGTGTATGTATGTTGGTGGTGTGTGGATGTTGGTGGTGTGTGGATGTTGGTGGTGTGTGGATGCGGCTGGTGTGTGGATGTTGGTGGTGTGTGGATGTTGGTGGTGTGTGGATGTTGGTGGTGTGTGGATGTTGGTGGTGTGTGGATGTTGGTGGTGTGTGGATGTTGGTGGTGTGTGGATGTTGGTGGTGTGTGGATGTTGGTGGTGTGTGGATGTTGGTGGTGTGTGGATGTTGGTGGTGTGTGGATGTGGGTGGTGTGTAGATGTTGGTGGTGTATGGATGTTGCGTGGTGTGTGGCTGCTGCTGGTGTGTTGTAATCGTGGCTTGGTAGTGTGGTGATGCTGGCTAAAAGTTTTATATTGATATGGCGTGTTCGTATTTTATCAAAATAAAGTTAGATATTAAAGAAAACTAGTTTTTTTCTGAGGATTACAATGGTTGTAGGCCTAGTGGTTAACATTCGAACACTTAATTTTAATAAAATTCCAGACGAGGTTCGAACCGGGGCCTACCGCCAGCTGTTCCACCCCGAGCAGTTGGTCAACGGTAAGGAGGACGCTGCTAACAACTACGCCAGGGGCCACTACACTGTGGGCAAGGAGATCGTAGACCTGGTGCTAGACAGGATCAGAAAGATGGTAGGACCCCAGTTGACCCCTGTAGTCACCAACTGACCCCAGCCGACCCCTGTAGTCACCGACTGACCCCAGTCGACCCGTGTAGACAACAACTGATCCCAGTTGACCCCTGTAGATACCAAATAACTTCAGTTGACCCCAGTAGATAACAACTGACCCCAGTTGACCCATGTCGATACTAAATGATCCCAGTTGACCCCTGTAGAAACCAAATGACCCCAGTTGACCCCTGTAGATACCAGTAGTATTTCTAATAAAGGGTACATTACAATACCCACATTACAAAGTCTAACAATTTCTCCAACTCCAAAACAAGAAAATATAAAAGTAGAAATCTAAAACCTTGTCTAATTAACAACCAGCTAATGAGAACATTAATTATCCACCAGGCCGACCCCTGTACGGGACTCCAGGGGTTCCTGGTGTTCCACAGTTTCGGTGGGGGCACAGGCTCGGGGTTCTCCTCCCTCCTGATGGAGAGATTAAGTGTGGATTACGGCAAGAAATCTAAGCTGGAGTTCGCAGTTTACCCAGCACCACAGGTATGTATTCCTTCCGTTTGGTTTACCTGGGTCTATAGAAATATGAGCGAAACTTTGTATGTTTAATTTTTCCCGAGAACGAAAATATTGTTTTTGTCTCAACTTACAAAAGGAGTAAAAATTAGAAGAAGAAAAAAAAATCAGAAAACTTAAAAATGTGATCCTTTAAAAAGTGTTTAGCTGGATAAAAAAAAACCATGATCCGATTGAGCTCAACCAGGGATAGCATGTATAAAGTAAACGTGTAACTGTTCAAGTAACTTCATTATCGACAAAGGTTTCACTTCACGACTATATTATGCATATTTCGTGTTTTTATTTATTATTTTTTGTTGTATCAAAATAAAAATCAAATCCAGCTAATCCTGACCCCGGGATCGGTATAAGTCTTTTTTTGGGGTGGGGGTAAGGGGGGGGGGAGAGTTGCATTAAATTAAGTACGAAATGCTGATAGGGACAGCATTTGGATTTTAGGTTTACGTCAGAGCCCTCCCCCTCCATTCCCCACCTCTACAATAGAGCCTTTAGTCAATCCTATTATACAAACCTACCTGTCTATTGTACAAACCTACCAACCTATTCTACAAACCTACCTGTCTATTGTACAAACCTACCAACCTATTCTACAAACCTACCTGTCTATTGTACAAACCTACCAACCTATTCTACAAACCTACCTGTCTATTGTACAAACCTACCTGTCTATTGTACAAACCTACCAACCTATTCTACAAACCTACCTGTTTATTGTACAAACCTACCAACCTATTCTACAAACCTACCTGTCTATTGTACAAACCTACCAACCTATTCTACAAACCTACCTGTCTATTGTACAAACCTACCAACCTATTCTACAAACCTACCTACCTATTCTACAAACCTAGCTGTCTATTGTACAAACCTACCAACCTATTCTACAAACCTACCTGTCTATTGTACAAACCTACCTGTCTATTGTACAAACCTACCAACCTATTCTACAAACCAACCTGTCTATTGTACAAACCTACCTGTCTATTGTACAAACCTACCAACCTATTCTACAAACCTACCAACCTATTCTACAAACCTACCTGTCTATTGTACAAACGTAGCTGTCTATTGTACAAACCTACCAACCTATTTTACAAACCTACCTGTCTATTGTACAAACCTACCCACCTATTGTACAAACCTACCTGTCTATTGTACAAACCTACCTGTCTATTGTACAAACCTACCTGTTTATTGTACAAACCTACCTGTCTATTCTACAAACCTACCTGTCTATTGTACAAACATACCTGTCTATTGTACAAACCTACCAACCTATTCTACAAACCTACCTGTCTATTGTACAAACCTACCAACCTATTCTACAAACCTACCTGTCTATTGTACAAACCTACCAACCTATTCTACAAACCTACCTGTCTATTGTACAAACCTACCTGTCTATTGTACAAACCTACCTGTTTATTGTACAAACCTACCTGTCTATTCTACAAACCTACCTGTCTATTGTACAAACATACCTGTCTATTGTACAAACCTACCAACCTATTCTACAAACCGAGCTGTCTATTGTACAAACCTACCTGTCTATTGTACAAACCTACCTATCTATTCTACAAACCTACCTGTCTATTGTACAACCTACCTGTCTATCGTACAACCTACCTGTCTATCGTACAACCTACCTCTACCTATTGTACAACCTACCTGTCTATTGTACAAACCTACCTGTCTATCGTACAACCTACCTGTCTATCGTACAACCTACCTCTACCTATTGTACAACCTACCTGTCTATTGTACAACCTACCTGTCTATTGTACAAACCTACCTACCTATTGTACAAAACTACCTACCTATTGTACAAACCTACCTGTCTATTGTACAAACCTACCTACCTATTGTATAACCTACCTGTCTATTGTACAACCTACCTGTCTATCGCAGGTATCCACAGCAGTCGTAGAGCCGTACAATTCTATCCTGACCACACACACCACACTGGAACATTCGGACTGTGCTTTCATGGTGGACAACGAGGCCATCTACGACATCTGCAGGTGAGAGGGTCATGGTCACTTCAATGGTGGTGGTCGCTTTAACTGCGGTGGTCTCTTCAATCGTTCTGCTAATGTGTTGTTGTTTTTTTTTTGTATTGTCAAAAGACAATGAATGTAACGTCGGCTCCCTTCTTTCTGCAGACGTAACCTTGACATTGAACGGCCATCTTACGTCAACCTGAACCGTCTGATTGGACAGATCGTGTCCTCCATCACCGCCTCCCTACGGTTTGATGGCGCCCTCAACGTTGACCTCACAGAGTTCCAGACTAACCTGGTACCATATCCCAGGATCCACTTCCCATTGGTCACATATGCTCCCATTATCTCAGGTCAGTCTTATACTCGTGAAATATAAGAACGGAGTTCACCATTGAGAGTACTTTTTAGTTTAACAGAATTATGTTAAAGAGCTTCTGTTATGGTTTTGTTATTGCTTATAATAATTATTATTTTATTCGTGTGATCTCAGTGTAAAGATCTAAAACATTACGACCTCTACTGTAAAGGCACAGTTGTACCTAGCTATACACAGGCAGACAATTATGGACAGACACAGACATGCATCAGACGTGACTGACATATCTACCCCACTGTCCTATGTCCTAAAAGTCCTACCATCTCACGTAACTAACCCCATGTCCTATGTCCTAAAAGTCCTACCATCTCACCTGACTACCCCCATGTCCTATGTCCTAAAAGTTCTACCATCTCACGTTACCCCATGCCCTATGTCCTTAATGTCCTACCATCTCACCTGACTACTTCCATGTCCTATGTCCTAAAAGTCCTACCATCCCACATAAATACCCCATGCCTTATGTCCTAAAAGTCCTACCATCTCACTTGGCTACCCCACAGTCCTATGTCCTAAAGGTCCTACCATCTCACATAAATACCCCATGCCCTATGTCCTAAAAGTCCTACCATCCCACATAACTAACCCCATGTCCTATGTCCTAAAAGTCCTACCATCTCACGTGACTAACCCCATGTCCTATGTCCTAAAAGTCCTACCATCTCACATAACTACCCCATGCCCTATGTCCTAAAGGTCCTACCATCTCACATAACTACCCCATGCCCTATGTCCTAAAAGTCCTACCATCTCACCTGACTACCCCCCCCCCCCCATGTCCTATACCCCAGCCGAGAAAGCCTACCACGAGCAGATGTCTGTGGCGGAGATTACTAACGCCTGCTTCGAGCCGTACAACCAGATGGTCAAGTGTGACCCCCGGATGGGCAAGTACATGGCCTGCTGCATGCTCTACAGGGGCGACGTCGTGCCCAAGGACGTCAACGTCGCCATAGCAACCATCAAGACCAAGAGGTCCATCCAGTTCGTGGACTGGTGTCCGACAGGCTTCAAGGTTGGCATCAACTACCAGCCGCCTACAATAGTTCCAGGTGGGTCTCGTGTACCTGTCTTTGAGCACCGGTACCACTGAATTAACTCAATGAAATTCACCCTTAAGAAAACTTCACACGAATCATTAAATCAAATTTCATATTAACAATGCTGAATGGCATCTCTACACTTACATCATTTTCCGAATGTCTTTCCTAATGTACAGCCTCTCCTACCATTCCTATCTCAAACTGTTGATAAATCATTATATTTTGTAAAACGGCATTACTCTGTTTCTTGTTTTCCTTTTTAACATTGCGGTGTAACTATGTATTGTTTAATCATATAAACTCCAGGCTAGCTACGCGCGGTAACCCTACCAAACTTTAGCCCAGTTAAACCTAAACCATAACCCTACCGTGATACACCCAAGCCTTGACCCCAGACCTAACCTTGACCTTCCCTTGCAGGCGGTGACCTTGCTCAAGTCCAGCGTGCCGTCTGCATGTTGAGCAACACGACGGCCATTGCCGAGGCCTGGGCCAGACTAGACCACAAGTTTGACCTGATGTACGCCAAGAGAGCCTTCGTCCACTGGTACGTCGGTGAAGGTCAGTCCCGATTCTTGCTACATCAGCTTGTTTATTGGTTTAGTTAACACAACATAATACACGATGAACTATGTCAGCAACTGGTTCTGAATAAAAAATCATTGTGTTGTTGGTTACTGTATCAACAACGTTTTCCTAAAGATCAAATCCTAAACAGAAAAATACATAACACACAGTGATCATCTTTCGCACATCCTCCGTAACGATTATTTATATGTTAAGTGGATTTAAAAAAAAAGATGTAAATAAACATTTCAAACCAGATTGGCAAATATTGAAGCTTCAATTTGAAGTAAAGGAGTCGAGTGATGAGTCGAACTCGAGACTTTCACGTTGATGCTGTGCACGCTACCAGAACACCACTGTGCCCTACATAGGCAGTAGAAAAACTTTACGATCTGTCATTTAGAACACAGATTTACAGCAATAACCACGTGACATTTGTCATTTTGCATGACATCTGATATCATTAAGCACATGCCATCTGACATCTAAACCACATTGCCTTTCATATCTCAACCACGTGAGATTTGACATCAAAACCAAGTGAGTTATGACATCTAATCCACATGACATTTGACATCTAAACCACGTGACATCTGACATCTAAACCAACTGACATTTGACATCTAAACCACATGACATTTGACATCTAAACCAACTGACATTTGACATCTAAACCACATGACATTTGACATCTAAACCACATGACATTTGACATCTAAACCACACGACATCTGACATCTAAACAACATGACATCTAAACCACATGACATCTGATATCTAAACCACATGACATCTGACATCTAAACCACATGACATCTGACATCTAAACCCCATGACATCTGACATCTAAACCCCATGCCATCTCTCCCTCAGGTATGGAGGAGGGTGAGTTCGCCGAGGCACGCGAGGACCTGGCAGCTCTAGAGAGGGACTACGAGGAGGTGGGGCTGGAGACGGTGCCCGAGGGTGCCAATGGAGAGGAGGGGGACGAGTACTGAGTGCCTGCCCCACCCACGGCCAGACGGGGAGGGGGGAGATCTGCCTTACAGCCGGGACTTGAACTAACTTGTGAACGGGTTCGACGCGCGTCGTGTAGGAACAAGGGCTTTCATCACAAACAACTTGTTCAGATTGTCGATCAAACGTTGACCAAATGACACTGACCATATCTTAAGAACCAAATGACATCATCGTGACATCTCTAAAATGACAAGAATCGCATGAAAGACTTGGAAGACTGAATGTTCGCTGTTTGTCGTCAATTCACTAACACGAAATTACCGCTTTAACTGTTGATTAAGCCATAATTAATTAGACGTTACCATTGTGATTATGTTTAAACTACTTGCGCTAAAACACCAGACACTTTGAAAATTTCCGATACTGTCAATGTTTTCTTTGAGACGAAACATAAGAAGTGCCTTCGTGTAACATACGCTGACCCCACCCTCATTATCTTGTGAATCGCCTCCATCGCTCACCCCCCTGACACAATCCACAGTCTGGATTCTATAGCCGAGACATGACGTTACTTTCCTCTAACACGCGCTTATGAGTGTAAATAACCGTCTATTTTTGCATAACTGTGAAAAAAAAGATTTTTGTTATGTTTCTAATTTAATTTTATTTATACTATTCATATGAATTGAATGCGAAACTTTTAGCGAAAATTCATTTTTTTTCAATAAATGGGATCGTATTTATGCCTATCTGATTTTTTTTTCTTCTAGTTTTAAATTTTCTGAGAATCTGTACAAAATTATCTTTGACAAAATCTCTGACAGTATCTGCTACAGCAATGAACCAGAAACGCCTTATAAAACAATTTTATAAATTATAGTCTACTTATTTGGCTTGTGTGTGTTTGTTATATTAAACTATTTTTGTTTCGCTGTTAAATTGAGCTGATTGTTTTCTGTGTTCTTTTGGTCAAATTTGTGTTTGTCTGGTCTGATTTCTTTAGTATGATGTATGTGTTGTTTGTGACATGTGGTGAAGCTGTTTGTTCAAATGTTTCTTGTTGATGAAATATGCTGTGTCTGCTTCTTTTGAGTTTAAAATCTGTTCTGTGTATATTGTGTATTAGCCCATATGTTCTGTGTATTTTGTGTATTAGCCCATATGTTCTGTGTATGTTGTGTATTAGCCCATATGTTCTGTGTATTTTGTGTATTAGCCCATATGTTCTGTGTATGTTGTGTATTAGCCCATATGTTCTGTGTATTTTGTGTATTAGCCCACATGCCCTGTGTATGTTGTGTATTAGCCCATATGTGATGTGTATGTTGTGTATTAGCCCATATGTGATGTGTATGTTGTGTATTAGCCCATATGTTCTGTGTATGTTTTGTATTAGCCCATCTGTGTATATTGTATGTTGTGTATTAGCCGACATGTTATGTGTATGTTGTGTATTAGCCCATATGTGATGTGTATGTTGTGTATTAGCCCATCTGTCCTATGTATGTTGTGTATTAGCCCACATGCCCTGTGCATGTTGTGTATTAGCCCATCTGTCCTATGTATGTTGTGTATTAGCCCACATGCCCTGTGTATGTTGTGTATTAGCCCATCTGTCCTGTGTATGTTGTGTATTAGCCCATCTAGACGTGTGATAGACAAACATTGATCAAACTGTAGATGCATCATTAAATTTTTAAAGCAACATGATGTCATTGTTTCTTGTCGTTCCTTTGTAATGTGTTACACACTGGATACCATTGGATAGACCAAACCAAATAACAAATGTTGACAGACTGTGAGCAGAAACGGCTGATTGTCAAGGGTTGTGGGTTCAATAGGTCAAATCTACGGTTACATACCAGTGCAAGATCTCAAGCCCGTGGGTGGTTAGTTAGGAAAAAGCCTTAAAAGAGTTCACAAGAGGGTACCGACCTTTGACCTGACAGATTACGTCACCCTACAATAATAGCCACCTAAAAAGAAAGAGGTGCTAATTTTACAAATTAGAGAAGTGCATTTTAAATCAGAGCAAGAATTTCGTGTTGGCTTTTTTTTAATTCAAAGCCAATTTCCCAGAGAAAACAAATAATTTGATTTGATTACCGACACTTGTGTTCAAAGACAGTTGTTCTTTGATCTCTCGGCTGGCTTGGTTTTTCTACATTTCAAACAAAACGTCTCAGCATCAGCTAGGTGGGCTGGGTTAAGTAAAAAACATTTCATACCACACGGATTAGGAAAGTCAAAGTAAACTAGTTGTATTTTAAACCAAGACATTTTGGTAAAGAAAAGTGTAATTATTTGTTGAAGACTGGGATTGGCGAGTGATAAAGTAAAAAAAAGAGAAAAATAATGTACACAAATTATCAGCTTTAAACTAGTAGAACGTCTGTCTGTCATGTGTTGTTACGGGATATAAATGACGTAATGCTGTCAATACTTGCTTTTTGTAGCTGAATCATCCTATGGCTGTTGAATGCTAGCTTACAACTATTTAGATTTCACTTGAATGAGTGGAAAAAACAAACCGTCAGTCAAGGTCAAAACGTCGATAAATGATTTAAACCACTCCGCAGCCCTTTAAGTGAAATCTTGTGAAATATTTGAACCTGCTGGCGACCTTCAACTTGACCTTGTCGTTTAAGTATTCCACAATTTGTCTTACAGCTGGGCCTAGCGATTTGATTCATGTATTGATCGTTGTTGCAAAATATGTCATATCGATTTGTTCTCAAGCGGCCTGTTTGTGTGAGTGGATGGTTTTAATAAGTGGTCAACCTTCGGTGGTGTGTTTCAATAGCTGCTAATCCTGGGTCGGCGTGGTTGGGTCGGTAAAGCTCATGGTTGCTAAACCGAAAAGTCCCGTGTTCGAACCCCCAGGTAGATGAAGAACAGCAACTCGTCAAGGAGAGAAAACTCCAAAATAAAACAACTCCAACCTTGGAATTTGTGCAAATCCAGGAAGAAAAGTGGGCTGAAATCGAGCAGGACATTCTTACACCTAATACGTGCGTTGGAGAGAATCCTGTCCTATATTACAGTTAAGCACGAAGATGAAGAAGAAATAGATGATACTATTATTGATACTTTAGCAGTGGTGCTTTGACATAGTTGTCATATCTACCTTGTAAAATATACATGTGTCAAATAGATCAGAAAAAAACCCTCATCGAAGAGGTTATTACAAATAATATTTCTCTAGAATGGGTATAAATTTGTTAAACCTTAATGAAATGTGGTACCCGCCTTTTTATTATTGCACACAATGTACACACTTGAATAAGAAAGGTGAAGCATCAGCCACGAATGTTTATATTGAGAGAAAACATAGACGACTTCTGATACTATATTGTCGTTTAAACAAAACAAACGAAACAAAACAAAACCATAAGATAATCATAAAGAGTTATGTGGATGTAAGCATCATGTTTATCAGCAATGTAGGGAGTTTCTCAACTTCTCACGTAGGAGGAGATGGGAGGGGGGATGTGGGTGGGGGTTCGGGTGGGGGGGGGGGCTCATGGATACGTTTGAAGTTTATTTATTTTATTTGAAGACGATAAGCCGTTGTTCTAAAATCTGAGCTGTAATGCATTACAACATACAGAGATTAAGACGGGGGTGTGTTGGGGGGAGGGGGGTGGGGGGGGGTGAACATAAAACAATGAACAAGGGATTTGTGTTTACAGGATACTTTGGCTGGTGTCTATACAAGGGGCTTATATAGAAGACACATCAGGGGCTTATATAGAAGACACACAGGGGCTTATATAGAAGACACATCAGGGGCTTATATAGAAGACACATCAGGGGCTTATATAGAAGACACACAAGGGGCTTATATAGAAGACACATTAGGGGCTTATATAGAAGACACACAAGGGTTTATATAGAAGACACATCAGCGGCTTATATAGAAGACACATCAGGGACTTATATAGAAGACACATCAGGGGCTTATATAGAAGAAACATCAAGGGCTTATATAAAAGACACATTAGGGGCTTATATAGAAGACACATTGATTGAATAAATCCACACCAGAGCATAGATTGTATTCATTTTCACATCAATTGTATCAAGATTTAGAAAAACAAGAGCTTACTAAAACGTACAACAAGGAAAAGGTTTGAGTTATTTAAAAAGTTTGATTTCATTTTAATGAAAGAGACGCAATCTTTGAAGCGCCCGAACACAAAAAGTTTCAACGTCATAAAAACGGTAACATTTGGAGACAAATGTCGTTAAAAGAGATTAATGTTACGTACTGAGGTATCAGTGTTCATAGGCAGTGTTGTTGTGTTTGAGGGACATCTCGCTACAGCATCTTGTGTACACACATCTCGCTACATCATCGTGTACACACATCTCGCGACATCATCTTGTGTACACAATACACTACATCATCGTGTGTAACCTCACGCTACATCATCTTGTGTACACATCTCGCTACATCATCTTGTGTACAAAAGAAACAGACCTAGTTGCTTGAGTTGTTATGATGAAGTTCTCTATCTTTGTTATATTGGTAAGTGCCGCTGATCTGTCTCTGTTACAATGATAATTATTGAATCGTTGTCGCCTTGTTATCTTTTAAACGTTGTTACATTATCCCTGTGTCAAATTAAATGACTATTTACTTAAAGCGTTTACAATCTCTGTTATCGAATATTTGTTCTGTGAAAACAGGTTCTTCTTGAGTCTACGACAGCAAGTAAATCGGTAATGTTCTATTCTGTGTGGTGTGTGCTTTAGATTAATTACAAAGATAATTTTAGTCACTTTGTACGCGCTTTTTCAGTTGATAAAAACATATATACATACAATATATATATATATATATATATATATATATATATATATATATATATATATATATATATATATATATATATATATATATATTTATTTATTTATTTATTTATTTATTTATTTATTTATTTATATATTTTATACATATTTATAACTGAAATATAACTAACTCTTTATTTTATCAACAGAGCTCAAAATGTAAGTTTACACTTTCTATTTTCCCAAATAGCCTGTTTCACACAAAAACACACAATTGTATGAGTTGAGAAAATAATCTTCTAGATTGATTTGCTTATTCCTAAAAATATAAACAAAAGAAAATGTTTCAATTTTTAAATGTTTTTTTAATCGAAAATATAGAAGAATTTACTTTTAAAAATAATTTACATATGTTTTCCATTTTTGTTTTCTTCCCCCCCCCCCCCCCCCCCCCCCCCATTCCTGTTGTTTAAGTGTTGACTACATCGCTTAGCAGTGTTGTTTTAATTAAATCACCACTGTAATGAAAATATCTTTATGCGCAAAAAGAGTAACGCGGCATTCTGTCTGGGTTTCTCTACAGCGTGGAGCGACCCTTGCTCCAGGATCACGTGTCAAAATGGCGGATCCTGCGAGGACCATGACGACAAAGTCTACTGCAAATGTAGGTCGGGCTATACCGGCATGTTTTGTGAAACTTTGCTCGGTAAGTTTCACGTTACGAACCATCCTTGAATTGTATCGCTTCAATTTAAATCGTGGTGTTTACTTTGTCTTATAATTGTGTCTGCTTGAATTGTATCGCTTCAATTTAAATCGTGGTGTTTACTTTGTCTTATAATTGTGTCTGATATTGCTGCTTGAATATTTTCTTAAAGGAAGGACGTCCGGTTAACTGAAAGCCAATATATATTGCTAAAGTCAAAACGAACATTAACCCTCTGCTTAACAAAAGCTCTAACCCAGACCTACCTTAGCCATAACCCAAATTTCTGACACTAATACTACATGTAAGATTTCGCGAATATTTATGATTTTAAAAATATCCAATAGATTCTACAATGTTTAAATTGTCTACTAGAAGTGTTAAATTTTGTTTTGAAAGAAAGTTCTTGTTGACTAAAAATTTGACCTACGGCTAGCCTCCCATAAAAATTTGACCTACGGCTAGCCTCCCCTGAAAATTTGACCCACGGCTAGCCTCTACTGAAAATTTGACCTAGGGCTAGCCTCTACTGAAAATATGACCTACGGCTAGCCTCTACTGAAAATATGACCTACGGCTAGCCTCTACTGAAAATTTGACCTACGGCTAGCCTCTACTGAAAATATGACCAACGGCTAGCCTCTACTCAAAATTTGACCTACGGCTAACCTCCACTAAAAATTGACCTACGGCTAACCTCCCATAAAAATTTAACCTACGGCTAGCCTCCCCTGAAAATTTGACCCACGGCTAGCCTCTACTGAAAATTTGACCTACGGCTAGCCTCTACTGAAAATATGACCTACGGCTAGCCTCTACTGAAAATATGACCTACGGCTAGCCTCCACTAAAAATTGACCTACGGCTAACCTCCCCTAAAAATTTGACCTACGGCTAGCCTCCCCTGAAAATATGACCTACGGCTAGCCTCCCTTAAAATTTGACCTACGGCTAGCCTCTCCTAAAAATTTGACCTACGACTAGCCTCACCTAAAAATTTGACCTACGGCTAGCCTCACCTAAAAATTTGACCTACGGCTAGCCTCTACTAAAAATTTGACCTACGGCTAGCCACTTCTGTCTCACCTGTATCAGGTAACCCATGTGATAGCATCGTCTGCCTGAATGGCGGGACCTGCACGGTGGTTTCCGGTGCCGCTAAATGTGTCTGTCCCCCAACGTTGACCGGTGCGGTTTGTGAAGTCGCAGTAGGTAAAGTCACAATCATACAATCATTTTTTTTTGTTTCAATCATACACTCATTTTTTTCAATCATAAAACCTTTTTTTACAATCATTTTTTGTATCAATCATACAATCATTTTTTTCAATCATAAAACCTTTTTTTACAATCATTTTTTGTTTCAATCATACAATCATTTTTTTGTTTCAATCATACAACCTTGTTTTATCGTCATCACCCACCTGTCAAAACCTATTCAAGTTAACTTTCTGTTTGTTTCGAATCCCCCTCCCCCCGGTCAGTTTTTGACAATCCCTGCAACACTGTCTTCTGCCAAAACAACCGGACCTGCACGGCAGTTTTGGATGTCGCAACCTGCGTCTGCCCTGGTGGATTTACCGGCGCCAATTGCGAAATACCACCTGGTACGTTTTTACATCAATCTTTTAAAACAAAATAATATCAGGTGGTTTTTACATCTTTCTTTTAAAACAAAATAATATCAGGTGGTTTTTACATCTTTCTTTTAAAACAAAATAATATCACATGGTAATTTAAATCTTAAGCAGCTTGTCTTTTTTTATGATTTGTGACCAGATCAAATATCTGAGGGTAATATGTCACGACAACACATTTAAAAAAATTTCCTATGGCAAAAAATATTCACAGTAAAATGATGTAGAGCTATTGGATTTACCTAAGAAAACTTGTAGACACAACAAACGATCCTATTCTTTCTTCCAGTGGACCCGTGTAGCGGTGTCTTCTGCCCAAATGGCGGCACATGCAGGGCCATATCAAACGTGGCAACGTGCGTCTGTCGGGCTGGTTTTACTGGCACTTTTTGTGAAAGTTTAATTGGTAAAACTTTCGTCTGTTATTAGATTTATTGCGCTCAGTGAGCTGTGAGATGTATCTATGTTAAACGTTTATATAGCTAAGTATTTATCTTCTGCCTGCTAATGTGGTTTATCTGCTATCTTCTACCTGCCAATGTGATTTACCTGCTATCTTCTACCTGCTAATGTGGTTTACCTTCTACATGCTAATGTGGTTTACCTTCTACCTGCTAATGTGGTTTACCTTCTACATGCTAATGTGGTTTACCTTCTACCTGCTAATGAGGTTTACCTGTTATCTTCTACCTGCTAATGTGATTTACCTGTTCTAGTGGATCCCTGTAACAGCCTTGTCTGTCAAAATGGCGGGACTTGCACGATCATTTCAACCACCGGAAGTTGTGTCTGTCCAGCTGGATTCTTTGGCCCTTTGTGTGAGAATGTTGTAGGTAAGTCTCCAGTAGTAGAGTTGACTCTACCCCAGTAGAGTAGGTTCTACCCAGTAGAGTAGGTTCTAAATCAGGATACTTACTTCTACCTCAGTAGTATTGACGCTATCCAAGTAGAGTAGGTTCTACCCCAGTAGAGTAGGTTCTACCCCAGTAGAGTAGGTTCTACCCCAGTAGTGTTGATTGAACCCCAGTAGACTACTTTACACCCCAGTAGACTCTACTGTTGACTCTACCCCAGTAGAGTTGACTCTACCCAAGAACACCTAATCCTTCATTAGTCCGCCTTAAGCAGGCCTACATGTATATCCCCACTACCCCTTAACGTCTGTACATGTCTTCCCCTTCTATAATCCCCTTCTATAATCTCCTACAGTTAATCCCTGTACTGGCATCACGTGCCCCCCAGAAAAAAGTTGTGTACTGATATCAACTATACCAAGCTGCCTGTGCCCTTTTGACAGGAGCGGTCAGTTTTGTGAAATTCCAATCGGTAAGTTTTTCATCGCAGAGGTGTTATTTCCTTTTGAAATTTGAAATGTATATTGACTGGTAAATGGTCTAACGTTAATTAAATCTAGACACTTATATTAACTGGTAACCGCCTTTGAATGCACATACTTATATTAACGTGTAAACCTAACCTATTGTATCCATTTATATAACCTGGTTTAACTGTTAAACCTAACCAAATGTAGCCACTTCATGATTCAACTGTTAAACCTAAACAAATGTAGCCACTTATGTTACCTGGTTTAACAGTTAAACCTAATCCAATGTAGCCTAAGTTTGACTTGGTTAACCTCTTGTTCCAGTGAACCCTTGTGACAGTGTGGTTTGTCTCAATGGTGCCACTTGTGTGGCCATCTCTGGCTCAGCTATGTGCGTGCTCTGATGTTGTGGAGGGGTGACGGTTGGTGATGGTGTGGATGGATGTCGGTTGGTGATGGTGTGGAGGGGTGTCGGTTAGTGATGGTGTGGAGGGATGGCGGTTGGTGATGGTGTGGAGGGATGTCGGTTGGTGATGGTGTGGAAGGATGGCGGTTGGTGATGGTGTGGAGGGATGGCGGTTGGTGATGGTGTGGAGGGATGTCGGTTGGTGATGGTGTGGAGGGATGTCGGTTGGTGATGGTGTGGAGGGATGTCGGTTGGTGATGGTGTGGAGGAGTGTCGGTTGGTGATGTTGTGGAGGGATGACGGTTAGTGATGGTGTGGAGGGATGTCGGTTGGTGATGGTGTGTAGGGATGTCGGTTGGTGATGGTGTGGAGGTGATGATTGGTGATGGTGTGGAGGGATGACGGTTGGTGATTGTGTGGAGGGATGGCGGTTGGTGATGTTGTGGAGGGGTGACGGTTGGCGATGGTGTGGAGGGATGGCGGTTGGTGATGGTGTGGAGGTGATGATTGGTGATGGTGTGGAGGGGTGTCGGTTGGTAATGGTGTGGGGGTGATGATTAGTGATGGTGTGGGGATGATGATTGGTGATGGTGTGGGGGTGATGACGGTTGGTGATGGTGTGGAGGGGTGACGGTTGGTGATATTGTGGAGGGGTGTCGGTTGGTGAAGGTGTGGAGGGGTGTCGGTTGGTGATGTTGTGGGGTGATGACAGTTGATGATGTTGTGGGGGTGATGATTGGTGATGGTGTGGAGGGATGGCGGTTGGTAATGGTGTGGGGATGATGATTGGTGATTGTGTAGGGATGACGGTTGGTGATGGTGTGGAGGGATGACGGTTGGTGATGGTGTGGGGTGATGACAGTTGATGATGTTGTGGGGGTGATGATTAGTGATGGTGTGGGGATGATTATTGGTGATGGTGTGGGGGTGATGACGGTTGGTGATGTTGTAGAGAGATGACGGTTGGTGATGTTGTGGAGGGGAGTCGGTTGGTGATGTTGTGGAGGGGTGACGGTTGGTGATGGTGTAGAAGGGTGACGGTTTGTGATGGTGTGGAGGGATGACGGTTGGTGATGGTGTGGAGGGATGACGGTTGGTAATGTTGTGGAGGGATGACAATTGGTGATGGTGTAGAGTGTTGATGGTATGTGATGAAAATAAAAGAAACCACAAACTCATCAAATTGCTTAATTTAATAAAGTCTAAAAGTAAAACACGTAAAACATTTTTGCAGTTTTGTTTGTATAAATTTAATATCTGTGTGTAAACAATATAATTTAAGTAAAGTTTTAGTTACTTGGACGAGATTTCACATACAAATATTGATTTCTATTCGTAAGTTCAACTTTTCTGCAATTGAAGGTAACCAGAAATGATAACTTAATTTCGATATCTCAGTTTATTTCTCAAAATATGATAATTCAATATCACTTTCTCATAAAACAACATATTGAAATAGATTTCGCCTATTTCTTAACGAAGAAGCAATTGACTTTGTCATAATATTTCATCAACGCTAATTTATTAGATAATTCCAAAATAGCCAGATGCTAAACAGAAGGAATCGCCAGTATATTTTTTCTATATAGATAACAAATTTGAAAAAGCGGTGGACCCCACCCCACCCCCAAGAGATGCTTAAAAGAAACGTGGGTAACCTCAAAAGAAATGAAACTTACTTCATACACTCACCCACATGCCCCTTACTCTCAGTACACAAGCCAGAAATTCCAAGACTCAAAGTAGACATTGTAGGTTGAGGCACTAACATTGTTACTGAAAACTACTATTAGCCAAATTAAGTATTGGTAAGGGGAGTCAAGTGATGTAGACGACACCAACCCTTTTTTTTTGTAAACACATTAACCACATTTAAAGCACACTTTTTGCAACCGAAATTTTTTGGAAATGTCATCATTGATTCCCACTTTGACTAATTCATTCTTTCAGCGCGGTTTTTCAGCGTTACATCGCTTGAGTGCAAATAATACAAATATTTTAACGGTCATAAGTGTGCTTTAAATATTTCAACCTATTGTCAATCATCACTAAAATAACATTTTACGAAGGATTGGAAACTGTAGACACACGTTGAGTTTACCTTTCTAATTTCATGATATACTCAAATAGCTAGTGCAACCAGCACAGAGCAAATAGGAGTCGATAATTGCTTGAATTATGTTTGTTTGAGCTAAGTAGTTTAGATAGTGGTCGTGTGGTATAGCGCACTTTTGCTAAGCTGTGTATCTGACTCTAGTCCACCCAGCTGTGTATGATACATGAGTCCACCCAGCTCTGATGGGTACCTGACTCTAGTCCACCCAGCTTTAGTGGGTACCTGACTCTAGTCCACCCAGCTCTGATGGGTACCTGACTCTAGTCCACCAAGCTGTAATGGGTACCTGACTCTAGTCCACCCAGCTCTGATGGGTACCTGACTCTAGTCCACCCAGCTCTGATGGGTACCTGACTCTAGTCCACCCAGCTTTAGTGGGTACCTGACTCTAGTCCACCCAGCTCTGATGGGTACCTGACTCTAGTCCACCCAGCTATGATGGGTACCTGACTCTAGTCCACCCAGCTTTAGTGGGTACCTGACTCTAGTCCACCCAGCTCTGATGGGTACCTGACTCTAGTCCACCCAGCTATGATGGGTACCTGACTCTAGTCCACCCAGCTGTGATGGATACCTGACTCTAGTCCACCCAGCTATGATGGGTACCTGACTCTAGTTCACCCAGCTCTGATGGGTACCTGACTCTAGTCCACCCAGCTCTGATGGGTACCTGAGTCCACCCAGCTCTGATGGGTACCTGACTCTAGTCCACCCAGCTCTGATGGGTACCTGACTCTAGTCCACCCAGCTCTGATGGGTACCTGACTCTAGTCCACCCAGCTCTGATGGGTACCTGAGTCCACCCAGCTCTGATGGGTACCTGACTCTAGTCCACCCAGCTATGATGGGTACCTGACTCTAGTCCACCCAGCTGTGATGGATACCTGACTCTAGTCCACCCAGCTCTGATGGGTACCTGACTCTAGTCCACCCAGCTCTGATGGGTACCTGACTCTAGTCCACCCAGCTTTAGTGGGTACCTGACTCTAGTCCACCCAGCTCTGATGGGTACCTGACTCTAGTCCACCCAGCTCTGATGGGTACCTGAGTCCACCCAGCTCTGATGGGTACCTGACTCTAGTCCACCCAGCTATGATGGGTACCTGACTCTAGTCCACCCAGCTGTGATGGATACCTGACTCTAGTCCACCCAGCTCTGATGGGTACCTGACTCTAGTCCACCCAGCTCTGATGGGTACCTGACTCTAGTCCACCCAGCTTTAGTGGGTACCTGACTCTAGTCCACCCAGCTCTGATGGGTACCTGACTCTAGTCCACCCAGCTATGATGGGTACCTGACTCTAGTCCACCCAGCTGTGATGGATACCTGACTCTAGTCCACCCAGCTATGATGGGTACCTGACTCTAGTCCACCCAGCTCTGATGGGTACCTGACTCTAGTCCACCCAGCTCTGATGGGTACCTGAGTCCACCCAGCTCTGATGGGTACCTGACTCTAGTCCACCCAGCTCTGATGGGTACCTGACTCTAGTCCACCCAGCTCTGATGGGTACCTGACTCTAGTCCACCCAGCTCTGATGGGTACCTGACTCTAGTCCACCCAGCTTTAGTGGGTACCTGACTCTAGTCCACCCAGCTCTGATGGGTACCTGACTCTAGTCCACCCAGCTATGATGGGTACCTGACTCTAGTCCACCCAGCTGTGATGGATACCTGACTCTAGTCCACCCAGCTATGATGGGTACCTGACTCTAGTCCACCCAGCTCTGATGGGTACCTGACTCTAGTCCACCCAGCTCTGATGGGTACCTGAGTCCACCCAGCTCTGATGGGTACCTGACTCTAGTCCACCCAGCTCTGATGGGTACCTGACTCTAGTCCACCCAGCTGTGGTGGGTACCTAACTTGAGTTAGCCCTCACTGCCCATGTATGTAAAGAAGACTGTACACAAGGGTGACTAATCTTTGTACGTCATGGGCTGGTGCGTCTCTCGCTGACAGGGTAAACACAAGTGGTCACAACAACATATGTTGTTAACGAGTAATTGGATCACAACACTTTCAGTATACAGGGTACTTTGTAAACGAATGTTCTAGATCTACCTCCCCTTTCATCTCTTTCTGCTCTTAGTTCTCTCGTGACGTCACTGGCTCATGTCCTGGTTACCTTGCTCAAGGTCATTGATCAGACGTCATCACACAATATCCGGTTTATATGTGGATTTCAAAGTTTAGATTAAAATTCCCAAATCTCCGTTCAAACACCCTAAAACTAGAAAACACCAAACAAAGAAATCAATTGTAAATTAGATTAAACAAATTAATGAATTTACCAGAGGTTGTACGACTGTTCACCAACATGGCGAGGGTGATCAAACAAAATAATGAGCACTAATCAGAGTTGTTGACTTAACACTTCAATTATCTCGGCGCTTTGATTTCGATCAGTTGGGGACAAGCTAGAGTCTTTGTTCACAGTTAATTGACGCGAGGTTCCAGGAGAAAATTACACGAAGTAAACTCAGCAATCGTTGAAATCATTTTAGAAACAACAACATAGAGACAGACTTTCTGGAAGATTCCAACCTTTGACGAGTCTATTAATTAATTAATTAATTGGGGGAGAGATGATGTGTGTGTGGGGGGGGGGGAGGTGGGGTGGGGGGAGGGTGTTATACTGTGCGGTAGTAAGTATAAATCATTTATGGCAAAAGAGGTGGAGGAAGGACATAAGGTACAAAGAGCAAGTACGCATAATACATTCACCCGAGAACAGACTAACACACAAAAACACACACACACACATATATATATACATATGTATATATAAATATATATATATATATATATATATATATATATATATATATATATATATATATATATATATATATATATATATATATATATATATATATATATATATATATAAGATATATATATATATATAAACTAATGAGTGCATTTGTTCCAAATGAATGCAGCAAGAAGAACCAGAATACAGACAGCTACAGACAGCTACAAACAACAGACATGAATGCTACAATCCCATCCAACACCACGACCACCCAGGACGGTGCCTTAGCTCCTGTCATGTCTGACGTCACACTGTCAACCATTTACTCCGACATCTTGTACTATGTTGTCCGGCCAACGATACTACTCTTTGGGATGTGCACGAACGTGACCACCTTCTACGTGTATTACAAGCTGGGTCTGCGTGACACCGTGACCATCACGTTCTGGGCCATCACGTTCTCAGATTTGTGTTTCCTGTGTTGCCACTTCGCTTCCTCTTTTAACGCAATATTCGACTTCTTTGTCCAACTCTACCAAGTATCTATACCATGCATACTTTCACCTGTTGAATTTTCTTTTGTCATGATATGGTATGGCTCGATACCCTACAATATATCAGTAGTAACTACCATGTTTATATCGATACAACGCTGCCTATGTGTTGCTCTACCCCTCCAGTTTAAAGGAATTTTCACAACAAAGCGAACACTCATTATTTTGGTATCGATATATCTGTTTATAATCTCAGTCTACGTACCGATTCTAACCACGTTTGGGTTACACGTTAGCGAGAGAAATCCAAACTCTACGACCTTTATTTCCTTGTACTTTGTTGAAGATAGGGCGCTCATAGAACTCGTCTACTATTGGATGATGAAGGTCATCTTTAACTCCTCTCAAATCGTCATCTTCATCTGTGCCGTCGTCCTGTGCGTCTGTCTACAACGTTCTTCCAGGTTTCGTCAAGCGTCCTCGGGCCTAGAACCCACGACCAAACCATCAAAGAACAGCCAGAACAACGGTCTAGATGGGGCCAAAGGTGACCTGAACTATGAACCAGGTACAACAAAAGGTGACGAGAACAATGTTCTAAGTGTGGCCAAAGGTGAACAGAACAATGTTCTAGGTACAGCCACAGGTGAACAGAACAATGAACCAGGTACAACAAATATTCAACAGAACAATGTTCTAGGTACAGCCAAAGGTGACCTGAACAATGTTCTAGGTACAGCAAAAGGTGGCCAGAACAATGTTCTACGTTCTGGTCTCACCCACAGAGACCAGCAAGTCATCAAGTGCGTGGTGCTGGTGATGGTGCTGTTCCTACTGAGCAACCTACCTGAGACCATTTTGTTCTACGTCAGCATCTACGTGCCTGGGTTTGGGCTGGGCAATAAGTACCACAACATCTTTATTCTCACCTACACAATACGCAGCATCATCGAGTTTCTCAATGCCTCTATTTATATTTTCGTGTATTACAAATACAATTCCAAGTTCCGCAAATGTCTCAAATCTTTGGGGAGGAAAAAGCTATCAAGACAACAACTGTTAAAAAGCTAAAGAAAGATCCGGCAGTGTTAACATTTTTTGTTACAATTTGTTGGGTTAGTTTGCTATTAAAATAAATATTCCGGCACTTATTTAGTTTGCTAACTTTGTATTGTATCCATAAACAAAAGTATGAACCCACTAAGCAGATCTAGATGAAAAGTTGAACCAGGTGTTCTTCTAGAACTTTTCTGTGTGAATTCCGTACGGGTTGCGAAGCTGGAGGTAAGCTAAACTAGAGGACTGTTTGGATCTTTCTAGAGCATCAGCTAACATCGTTAGTTATTCTTTTAAATTGCTTTTATTCATTGTCTTTTTAAATAAAGTTTTAAAACGAACAATTGTAGAACAATTGTATTGAGTGTGTATGTGTGTTTATGTGTGTGTCTGTCTGTGTGTTTGGGTGTGTAAGTGTGTGATTGTGTGTGTGTTTGTATGTGTGTGTTATTTGTTTAAGTGTGTGTTTGGGTGTGTGTATTTGTGTGTGTCTGTGTGTGTTTGTATGTTACAAATCATGCTGAGTGAGTGATCTACCCTGAAATCAGATGGAAAAAAAACAAATCCTACCAAACACAACATTACCAACAGGTGTTACATCCCTGTTACCTGTTTGTTCAGGTTTTTGTCAAGGCCGACTATCACGACCACGTGAGCTGCTCAGCCGTTTTGTGCGAGATCTGAATCGTTTTTATTTAATTCTTTGATACATTTATCGTATTTTCAAAACAAGAAAAGTCATGTCAAACATCATTGATCATCTAGAAAAATAAAACTATTAATACAACAGAGAGAAAAATAAAACATTAATGCAACAAAGAGAAGAATAAAACAGCGATTACCGGCTCTACCGTCTTCAACATCAAACAACATTGAATTCATTTATGGCCCTGCAGCTTAGTCAACATTAGTGTATAAATGTTGCCAGGTTTTTTCTTGTTTGCCATCATTTCGTGTACACAGATTTCTGTACGCCAGCTTGTACACACGACCACATCTCGATATACTCCTGTTACTGCTACTAGACGTCATGATGAAGTGGACTGTCTTTGTTACTTTGGTAAGTCTTCATGTCTTTGTTACTTTGGTAAGTCTTCATGTCTTTGTTACTTTGGTAATTCTTCAAGGGTTTTTTTTTGTATCCATTTATTTTTGAAAAGAGAATGTGAATGTGAGTTTTCTGTTAGAATCGGCGTGTTATTATTTTTTTCTGAGTCGGTTTTGTTATTGCTTATATTCCACCACCAATGTTCTAGTTCGGGGGGGGGGGGAGTTGTGTTGTGTTTATTCAGCAGTTTAAAATCTATGACCGGGAGAGTTTGTGAGTTTATACCGCGAGTTGTGACTTTCTTTCCCAAGGTCAGATGCGTGTATAAAAGACATGTGAATACGAGTTAGTGGGGACATGTTGATGTTGATGGCATGGAAGAACAGATAGTATTTTATCTCATTTTGTATTATAACTATGTAATATTATTTCTTTATTCCACTCTTTAAGTACTATGTTACTGCAATGTCGTTACTTTGCTATTGCTTTTTTAAATGCTGTTATTAAATTGTTGTTTTATTTGTTTAATTAAAAAACGACCAATGTGAAAAAAGGCCTCCGTGTCTACTATTGTTACCGGAATTGAATAAATGAATAAATGAATAAAATGAATAAACGGTAGGAACGGTGGAGAATTGTGGACCGATTATCGGTAGAAAATCGTCGTCTGAATGTTATATAATACGTTGGTTAAATTTACTTTAATCTCTCTTTGTCTACATCTTCTATCTCAGTGTTAAAGTTTTTTTCCACAGGTTTTGGTAGAGGCTACCATCGCAAGTAAATCGGTAATGTTACAATTGTGTGTTGTTGTATGTAGTCTATGTAGTATATACTTAGATCTACGCTGTTAGTTGGGACTTGTATTAGCTACATTATGTGGAAAGGTAGTATAATATACAGAATAGAGAACTTTTTGTGGACTATTTTAACATATATATATATATATATATACATATATACATATATTCATATATACATATATACATATATACATATATACCTATATACATATATACCTATATACATATATACATATATACATATATACATATATACATATATACATATATACATATATACATATATACATATATACATATATACATATATACATATATACATATATACATATATACATATATACATATATACATATATACATATATACATATATACATATATACATATATACATATATACATATATACATATATACATATATACATATATACATATATACATATATACATATATACATATATACATATATACATATATACATATATACATATATACATATATACATATATACATATATACATATATACATATATACATATATACATATATACATATATACATATATACATATATACATATATACATATATACATATATACATATATACATATATACATATATACATATATACATATATACATATATACATATATACATATATACATATATACATATATACATATATACATATATACATATATACATATATACATATATACATATATACATATATACATATATACATATATACATATATACATATATATATATATATATATATATATATATATATATATATATATATATATATATATAAAGATATATATACAATTATCTTTTTCTTAACAGAGTTCTGAATGTAAGTACTAAACATTTTTTTTTAAATTTAGGTCAAGTTATTTGAACAATTGTGTTTTAAATAGGCCATTTGTTTCGTTTAGTGGTGTTTTTAATATAAATAATTTATTTTAGTTTTTAAGTAATTGAGACTGTTAATTTTTCTTTAGGTAAGTATCACCCCTGATACTCAAATAAATGAGTCCAAATATACCACAAGCACAATTTTGTTTCCTAGGTTTTAAAAAATGTAACTAATGACAAGAAGTAATATGCCTAACTGTAGAATGAAAACCTTTAAATATTTTAAATTGCATACAATTCCAAAGCCACTAAACAATATTTTCCAAAATAGTTTATTGTCAAATGTTGTAGAAGAATATTGTGATTCATTAACATCCTAATCTTGCTGTGTAGTCTGAAAGCCATCCAAAAACAGATTGGAAATATTTATGTTTTCTGGAGCAAAAAGCCTTACGCGGTAAATAATTTCTCTTTCTAACCAACAGGGAGCGACCCTTGCTCTAGGATCACGTGTCAAAATGGCGGATCCTGCGAGGACCATGACGACAAAGCCTACTGTGAATGTAGGTCGGGATATACCGGCATGTTTTGTGAAACTTGGCTGGGTAAGTTTCCTATGTAGTTAATCTAGGCTCATCGTAAATAGACCTAAACAGTTAAAATATAAAACACACCAATAAGTAATTGCTTGGGCGTTTGACCTGTTCCAGCCAATCCCTGCAACAACATCGTCTGCCAAAACGGCGGGACCTGCACGGTCGTTTCAAATGCCGGAACGTGTGTCTGTACGGCTGGATTTACCGGCACTTTTTGTGAAATCGCACCAGGTAAATAGGGTCTATATAATCACGTGAGCTACTTCTAGAATAGTGTAGTGTTAATAGAGGACTATTGCCCATTGTAGCTAGCCTACCGCTGACCCCATTGACCTTCTTACCTGTTTTATTTGTACCTGTCTGGTCTGTTTCAGTCAACCCCTGTAGCACTATTGTCTGTCAAAATGGCGGGACGTGCACTTCCGTTTCAAACGTTGGGACGTGTGTCTGTCAGGCTGGTTTTACCGGCACTTTTTGTGAAATCGCACCAGGTAAGTAGGGTCTATACAGAGGCGTAGCGACGGGGGGGGGGTGCGGACCGCACCGGGTGACACCATTTAGGGGGTGACACCAAGGCAAAAAATAGTAAAATATATAGAGAAAGATTTGAGGGGGTGGGTGGAAATCGAAAGTTTGAGGAGGGGGGTTGCAAATCGAAAATTGAAATTTTGTCCCCGGGAAGAGTCGCTACGCCTCTGGGTGGGGGGGGGGATGACACCATTAAGTGCCGCACCGGGTGACACCCTACCTCGCTACGCCACTGGGTCTATATAAACAAGTGAGGTACTTCTAGAATAGTGTAATGTTTAGGGTGAATCATTGCCTATTGTAGCTAGCCTACCGCTGACCCCATTGACCTTCTTACCTGTTTTATTTGTACCTGTCTTGTCTGTTTCAGTCAACCCCTGTAGCACTATTGTCTGTCAAAATGGCGGGACGTGCACATCCGTTTCAAATGTTGGGACGTGTGTCTGTCCGGCAGGTTTTACCGGCACTTTTTGTGAGATAGCACCAGGTAACGACACAACATTAGCAGACGTCGTTGTGTGAAAGGCTTAGATCGTCTGCATGTTTGTTTCACCTGGCCACTGACGGCTTGACCTTTGACCTGTTTCAGTGACCCCCTGTACTGGAGTCGTCTGCCCGGCACCAAAAGTGTGTGTCGTCATATCCGGTATCCCAAACTGCCTTTGTCCTTTTGACACAACGGGCGTGTTTTGTGAAATTCCCACGGGTAAAGTTGGTCACTAGCGCTGAAAAACTTAAATTGTACTTAGGAAACGTTAGTCACACAGACACACATCATCCCCACACAGTAACACACATCAACCCCACACACTGACACGCATCAACCCCACACACTGACACACATCAACCCCACACACTAACACACATCAACCCCACACACTGACACGCATCAACCCCACACACTAACACACATCAACCCCACACAATAACACACATCAACCCCACACAATAACACACACCAACCCCCTCACTCTATAACACGCATCACCCCACACACTGAAACACACCAACCCCACACACCAACCCCACACACTGACGATCTCGTATGTTCCAGTCAACCCCTGCATCAACGTCGTCTGTCAAAACGGTGGCACCTGCATCCCATCTTCCGGTCTGGCCAGCTGTGTTTGTGCCGGAGGATTTTTCGGAGACCGATGCCAGAGTTCCGTCACTTCCTGTCCGGTTGGTATTGTAGTACTCGTCTGTGTGTGGTCAGCTGATAGTCTGGGTGTGGTCAGATGATAGTCTGAGTGTGGTCAGCTGATAGTCTGGGTGTGGTCAGCTGATAGTCTGGGTGTGGTCAGCTGATGGTCTGGGTGTGGTCAGCTTATGGTCTGGGTGTGGTCAGCTGATAGTCTGGGTGTGGTCAGCTGGTAGTCTGGGTGTGGTCAGATGATAGTCTGGGTGTGGTCAGCTGGTAGTCTGGGTGTGGTCAGCAGGTAGTCTGGGTGTGGTCAGCTGATAGTCTGGGTGTGGTCAGATGATAGTCTGGGTGTGGTCAGCTGATAGTCTGGGTGTGGTCAGATGATAGTCTGGGTGTGGTCAGCTGGTAGTCTGGGTGTGGTCAGCAGGTAGTCTGGGTGTGGTCAGCTGATGGTTTGGGTGTGGTCAGCTGATAGTCTGGGTGTGGTCAGATGATAGTCTGGGTGTGGTCAGCTGATGGTTTGGGTGTGGTCAGCTGATGGTTTGGGTGTGGTCAGATGATAGTCTGGGTGTGGTCAGCTGATGGTTTGGGTGTGGTCAGCTGATGGTTTGGGTGTGGTCAGCTGATAGTCTGGGTGTGGTCAGATGATAGTCTGGGTGTGGTCAGATGATAGTCTGGGTGTGGTCAGCTGATGGTTTGGGTGTGGTCAGCTGATGGTTTGGGTGTGGTCAGCTGATAGTCTGGGTGTGGTCAGACTGTAGTCTGGGTGTGGTCAGATGATAGTCTGGGTGTGGTCAGATGATGGTCTGGGTGTGGTCAGCTGATGGTTTGGGTGTGGTCAGCTGATAGTCTGGGTGTGGTCAGATGATAGTCTGGGTGTGGTCAGATGATAGTCTGGGTGTGGTCAGCTGATGGTTTGGGTGTGGTCAGCTGATGGTTTGGGTGTGGTCAGCTGATAGTCTGGGTGTGGTCAGATGATAGTCTGAGTGTGGTCAGCTGATGGTTTAGGTGTGGTCAGATGATGGCCTGGGTGTGGTCAGCTGATGGTCTGGGTGTGGTCAGCTGATAGTCTGACGTGTCTCACTATCTAACATTTCTCACTATCTGACGAGTCTCACTATCCCACGAGTCTTACTATCCCACGGGTCTCACTATCCCACGAGTCTCACTATCACACGAGTCTCACTATCCCACGAGTTTCACTTTGTTTCACTTATTTCCCAGGCTGGAACTGGGGGTGGCATCTCAACCTGTGGCGGCACCTTCTGCTCGACCGACGCCGACTGTGTCGGTGGCGTATGCTGCCCAAGTAGCTGTGGTGGTAGCCTGTGCTACCCCTTCGCCTCTGGCCGATAACCCAACATCAGAATATCTGAATATCGCAAGTTCCAGAAGGACCACCATTTTCTCAACAACATTTGTGTGACTATTTATTTAAAAGTTTCGAGTATTTTTATTTTCTCGTATACAAGTATAGATGAAGTATTGTAAACGTGGGGAAATAAATACCACTTTACATCTTTCTTGGTCGGAGTAAATTAATTTTGCAATCTTGCTTGTAACGACGAAAAATTGACACCATTTCAATTAGATCGACTAAATTTCATTAAGTTCTTTTTAAAAGTGTTTTATGATTTTCGGTGACCGGAAGTAGAAGCTTACGCTATTTCAGAATTTAAGTATCGTGCCTACATACACACACAAACAGACAGACGGACACTTTTGTTTTGCGATCAAGAAAATCTCGATGTATGTTTCTTTCGCAAATACACTAAGTCCTCAATACACCGTATACAGTAAACTAGGGGGTATAACTGTAAAACGACAATATCTCATTTCTTTTTTATGTACGATCATAATTTCTTTCATTATACTCCGGATATGAGAGAATAAAAAAAACTATTTCAAAAATATTGCCTTCTTCTGATTCCACCTCACCCCCTCTTACTGTTACATCAGAATATATGAGATAGTTTAAAGGAGATCACTCTTGTTTATTTTTTCTTTAGGTCTATAAATACATGTACCGTGAATTGAATAATATATACATTGGTGGAAAATAAAAATAAATAAAGTTGCTTTGTGAATTAATTTATTTATTTTAAAGTCATGTATTATTTACAAAAAAAAGTAAATTTAAGTTTATGTATAGGAACATATACAATGCACTCCCTGTACAAAAAACCCCACCTATTTTATATAAGCCACTGTACGTAAAACTACTCTACATGAACCTACTCAACATGAACTTACTCTAAACCTACTCAACATGAACCTACTCTAAATAAATCTACTCTACATAAACCTACTCTACATAACCCTACTCTACATAAACCTACTATATATAAACCTACGCTACATAAGCCAACTGTACATAAACCTACTCTACATGAACCTACTCTACGTAAACCTACACTACATCACAAGTGACAACATCAGCCTATATTATTAACGAGTAATTTGGATCATAACACTGTCAGTCCACAGTTTAGTTTTCAAACGAATGTTCTAGATCTACCTCCCCTTCCATCTCTTTCTGTTCTTAGTCCTAAGTCCTCTAGTGACGTCACTGGCCACCCCATGACCTGGTTACCTTGCTCAAGGTCATTGATCAGACGTCAACGATATCCGGTTTATGTGTGGATTTCAAAGTTTAGATTAAATTTCCCAAATCTCCATTCAAACACCCGAAAACTAGAAAAAACCAAACAAAGAAATCAATTGTAAATTAGATTAAACAAATTAATGAATTTACTAGAGGCTGTACGACTGTTCACCAACATGGCGAGGGTGATCAAACAAAATAATGAGCACTAATCAGAGTTGTTGACTTGACACTTCAATTATCTCGGCGCTTTGAGTTCGATCAGTTGGGGAAAAGTTTGAGGGGGGTGGGGTTACACTTTGCTCTTCTCTTGGTGCGCAATTTGTTTTTCTACGAGAATATATTATATTTAAAAAGTTTAAGTAATTAAAAATTGATTAAAAATTATGTCTATATCCCGGGTTGCCATCCCCCGTAGTATTATATAAGAATATTCGAGAAAGTTTAGGAGAGATCACTCATGGTTTATTTTTATTTAAGGTAAAGAAGTCCCTACTATTAGGAACTTTGCTATAGGCTAGCTAGAGACAGCAGACATGAATATTACACTCACTATAAACTGCACGTCCACCCATTGCGGGGCCTTCGGTCCTGACGTGAATGACGTCACATGGTCCGATATACCTTACCTCATCTTGTACTATATCGTCCAGCCCTTGACCCTGCTCTTTGGGATGTGCACGAACGTGACCACCTTCTACGTGTATTACAAGCTGGGTCTGCGTGACACCGTGACCATCACGTTCTGGGCCATCACGTTCTCAGATTTGTGTTTCCTGTGTTGCCACTTCGCTTCCTCTTTTAACGCAATATTCGATTTCTTTGTCCAACTCTACCAAGTATCGATACCATACCTATTCAAGCCTATGGAATTTACTTTCGTCATGATATGGTATGGCTCGATACCCTATAATATCTTAGTAGTAACTACTATGTTTATATCGTTACAACGCTGCCTATGTGTTGCTCTACCCCTCCAGTTTAAAGGAATTTTCACAACAAAGAGAACACTCATTATTTTGGTATCGATATATCTGTTTATAATCTCAGTCTATGTACCGATTCTAACCACCTTTTGGTTGCGCGTTAGTGAGAGAAATCCAAACTCTACGACCTTTATTTCCTTGTACTTTGTTGAAGATAGGGCGCTCATAGAACTAGTCTACTATTGGATGATGAAGGTCATCTTTAACGCCTCTCAAATCGTCATCTTCATCTGTGCCGTCGTTCTGTGTGTCTGTCTTCAACGTTCTTCCAGGTTTCGTCAAGCGTCCTCGGGTCTAGAACCCACGACCAAACCATCACAGAACAGCCAGAACAATGTTCTAACTGTGGTCAAATTTAGCCAGAACAATGAACCAGGTACAGCCAAAGGTGACCTGAACAATGTTCTAGGTACAGCCAAAGGTGAACAGAACAATGTTCTAGGTACAACCAAAGGTGGCCAGAACAATGTTCTACGTTCTGGTCTCACCCACAGAGACCAGCAAGTCATCAAGTGCGTGGTGCTGGTGATGGTGCTGTTCCTACTGAGCAACCTACCTGAGACCATTTTGTTCTACGTCAGCACCTACGTACCTGGGTTTGGGCTGGGCAATAAGTACCACAACATCTTTATTCTCACCTACACAATACGCAGCATCATCGAGTTTCTCAACGCCTCCATTTATATTTTCATGTATTACAAATACAATTCCAAGTTCCGCAATTGTCTCAAATCTTTAGCAAGGAACGATCTATTAGGACAGCAACTGTTTAAAAGCTAAAGAAAGGGCCAACAGTGTTAACATTTGTTTGTTACAATTTGTTAGGTTAGTGTGCTATTAAAATTATTATATCCTGCACTTATTTAGTTTGCTAACTTTGTACTGTATCCATAAACAAAAGTATGAACCCACTAAGCAGATCTAGATCAAAAGTTGAACGAGGTGTTCTTCTAGAACTTTTCTGTGTGAATCCCGAACGGGGTGCGAAGCTGGAGGTCAGCTAAATTAGAGGACTGTTTGGATCTTTCTAGAGCAATAGCTAACATCGCTGGTGATTTTTTATTGCTTTTGTTCGTTGTCTTTTAAATAAAGTTGTAAAAAGAACAATTGTAGAACAATAGTATTGAGTTTGTATGTGTGTTTATGTGTATGTGTGAAAAATAAAACTATTAATACAACAAAGAGAAGAATAAAACTGCGATTTCCTGCTTTACCGTCTCCAACGCCAAACAACATTGAATTCGTTTATGGCCCTACAGCTAAGTGTATAAATGTTGCCAGTTTTTTCCTTGTTTGTCATTATTTCGTGTACACAGATTTCTGTACGCCAGCTTGTACGCACAACCACATCTCTCTACATTGCTGTTGCTGCTACTAGACGTCATGATGAAGTGGACTGTCTTTGTTACCTTGGTAAGTCTTCATGTCTTTGTTACTTTGGTAAGTCTTCATGTCTGTTACCTTGGTAAGTCTTCATGTCTTTGTTACCTTGGTAAGTCTTCATGTCTTTGTTACCTTGGTAAGTCTTCATGTCTTTGTTACTTTGGTAAGTCTTCATGTCTTTGTTACTTTGGTAAGTCTTCATGTTTTGTTACTTTGGTAAGTCTTCATGTCTTTGTTACTTTGTTAAGTCTTCATGTCTTTGTTACTTTGGTAAGTCTCGGTGGCAAAGAGGACCTATTGAGTAATGAGTAGATTTTTATTGTCAAAATATAATCTGTCCACAATTCCCCATTTGTCATTCCATGCCTTCAACATAAACATTTTCCCATTTGTAACAACAGGAATATTGTTGATAGGATGATATTGTCATTATTGTGGGTTCGTTCATCCAAGAATACGATCAACGTGCTTTGTAACTTTAAACTTTATTTACATAGATTCATAAGAAATAATAACGATATTCCACAGTAGAAAAATGACTATTACATTATAGTCTAGAACAAACTGACGTGGTGACATCTTACATCTTACTACACAGTCACAGGTAAACACACTTTGTTCACCTTGCGCTCCCCTTTTATACACCACTTTCTCTCCCCTTACGTCAATGAGCGATCTCACAAAAGCATGGAAAAATACATGACGAGTCGCTCAGACAGTCCTTCTGTTGGCCAGGTACTCTACATTCATGCAACTTCATGTAAAACACAATATAATAAACATACCCAATAATACAGTCAGTGACACCATTAAATAAGGCATAAATGATCTCCCCTAAAATTTCTCGTAAATTAATTTTTGTCTACATCCTCTATCTCAGTGTTAAAACTTTTCCCATAGGTTTGGTAGAAGCTACCATCGCAAGTAAATCGGTAATGTGTGACCTACTTAGGTCCTGTCTTTTTAGTTTTACATTTATTAATCAACCTGTGGGAGAATCACCGGTATTTTTCCATAGTTTCAAGAAAGATCTATACCCAGTACTTTTCCATCACGAGATGTGGTGCAAACTTTCTATAATTTCGATTGGTTAATTCGGACATCGGCGGTGGCCTAACCAATAGTCTTATGACTTGAAGGTGACCTCCCATGTTTCCAAAAGTTGTTAAATACCCTGCGCACACGTTTCTCTGAGCAGCAGTCCCGACCAGACATCCTGAGAGAGAAAGCCGTGTGTGTCGCTATTTTGTAGTCTATAGTTTTAAAGCAGCTTTTTCCCTTATTACTTGTGGTTTAAGTAATATTGTGTGCTTTAAGTAGTTTCGTATAAGCTGTGGTAATTTTCCTAAGTGCCATCTCCTGTGATAGTGTAACATAGTGTTTTTTTCTTCACTTTGTAAGTTGGGTTTTGTTTATTCTGCTAATTCATTATATTTTGTATAAAGCTAGAGTCTTACCTTGAACTTGTACACATTTTAAAGGTTATATATAGATTAAAAGTGTTGTTGGTATCAAGAGTTCCTCGAGTTTATCCCCTAGACGTTATGTACGAGTTTTCGGTGAATTTTTATACCTGCTACCTTTTTAAGGCTATGAGCCATCTGTGTATAACCCTCTAAACGAACCCGGTACGTTCGCCAGCTCTGCGACTGTTAGAGTGGTGATCGTAATAAGTGGGGGCCCGTCCGGGATTTAATTTGTTGTGCGAGTTTTGGTTTAGACACTAGGTTTAGATCTAGGAAGTTTTCTGTTAGTCCAGTAGAGCCGTGTGTGAACACCGCCCAAGGCTAGAGTTGCGTTATCTAGGTCAGGAGGTCAGTCGTGTCGTGTTCTAAGTCGAGTTCTTAGCAGATCCTTGTGCTGTGTTAACCTAGAGAGTTTGTTTTGGTTTTGAAACTGAAGTTGGATAATGGAGGCTTTTTTATTGAAACCTACAGTGGAAGAGGTTCAAAAACTAAGTAGAAAGGATTTAATTGGTGTAGTAAAAGAGTTGAATTTATATTTCTCTGTTACTCAAAAGTCACAAGTGCTAAGAGATAAGGTTATAGTACACTTTATCAACGAAAATGTGTTTGAGGAGAGTCTGTTAGCTGATGTGTTA